TATGAATCCGCCTATTTCCTAGTCCGACTACCGTGCAATCAATTCAATGCAAGAAGCGATATCGATCTCAATTTCCGTCAAACCAACTTGCTTATCGGATTAATTCAACGCAATATAAGCAAATAATTGCTTGATTTCATTTATTTTCATTCCATTCAGATGCAAATAACATTAGTATTATCCACTCAGCGCCTCGCACGAGAGGCGAAAATTTTACGTTTTGTGTGTAATGGAAAACGAAAAAATTAAAAATATTCCATCTATTCGAGTTATAACTGTCGTTTACTATATATTTCACAATTTTCTGTGTCATAAATAGTCCTTGACTGCCGAAAAGATATCGAGATCCTACCAATTTCGATTCGTCGAAGACATTTTACAGTAGCTATTCTCATTCGAAAAACTGTTTCATTTTAAGAGTATCGGGTCAGTTTCGGAAAAAAGTAACGGCCCGTATGTATATACGTATATGTATGTATATTGGGCACGTAGCCGACATTACGATGTCATTCTACGAAACCCGCTTCAACGAAATTTAATTTTCCTTTTCATGAATTGGACTGTGATTGGCTATTCCTTCTCAATAGCCGCACGCCGGGCAAGTTTTGCTGGCCACTTTGCTCGCTTCCGGTCGTAACCCGATTCGTGACACAACCCTATACAGTCTCTATTGATGTCCTTATTGGACTTCTGTACTCTCTTCTTTTGCAATTTCATTTTCGCAAGAATTTTTACATTGTTCTGAAGGTGATAACTCATTTTCAGAATTTCAATAATACAATTGATTGAATTTCTTCTTCAATCCTCTTGTGTACATACATACAGTTCTTGATGAGAAATTTCAGAAAAGATTCTGATAATTGAATAGATAGAGGTACAAAAATATATATACTACCTTCACGCTTGTCATATGAAATGTAATAATATTTTTTTAAATTTTAATCAGAATCGGTTGACAAGATCTTTTTATACAGATATCTATTTGCTTATAAGATCATATTATTCAAGCGAATAATTATATTATTTTCCGAATATGGCAGTACGTTTCTAATCTTCGAATATGGACATACACTGAATCATCTATTTGTTCGTGTAAGAATTACATAATAGAATTTAGTGCGAAATAATATTCTGTATAGAAAGTAAAAAGTTTAAAAACGTAACATATAACAAAAATATAGAACAAATAGAAACAAGTAGATAGCTGGAAATAAAATTTATCTAAAAAAATAAAAAAAAGGAAAATAAAAAAATATAAGCTAAAAATATGAGTAAGAGAGAGAAATATATAAGTATATTTATATCTAAAAGCATATTGTGTGTATGATTACAATAAACTTAGTGAATTGCAAAAATTATGGTATAAGTTACTATACGATAAGGCACATGAAAATCCATTGAGGTTGGTTTAACCGCAATGTGATTGCAATGTAAAAATAATATGGAAGGTATATAGAATAAAATCAAATATGCAAAAAAAATAAATAAATTGTATTTGGTTTACAAACAATGGGCAAAGTGCATTATTTGAATGGAACCACCACTTGGACGAATTCGAAATAATCGTTTTGAAAATCGTGTGGGTCGTCAAGGTTTACCTACCTCACGTGCACCGGATTAAACTTTTGTCTACTTGACCTCGCAGTGTCAGTGACTTCTGATATTTCATGACACCTAACGTTTACGACCTCACTGGGTCGTTCGTGAGCGAGCAATGCCACGAAAAGAAAAATCCCCTAATTCTTCTAATGACCTCAAAACCAATCATATACTTGCAAAAAAATAATTTGAATTAGCAAGATAAATAAAAAATTAAGCCGCGTATTTCGTAGTTGTACTTTTAATAATCATGGAAAAAAATTTTCTAAAAAAATTATTATGACCTTTCACAATTTAGATATGCAATTCTGTATTTCTCATTCATCTTTATCCTATCATTGATTATTAATGAAACGCAACATGTATAATAATAAATCTTTCCCAAATAGTGATATTAATTATCTTATATCTACCATAAAATATATTCGGCATATTTTATTATAAATAATTTATGTATGTATAACACGTGCATTAACTCTAAATTATATCAATAATATAAAAATTTTATTCTAACAAACAAATTCTAAGCAATCGGAAGCAATAAATATCATTAACTCCTCGTAAACTCATGGCAATGTCAAATAATGTTCCGGTTACAATTGTAACCATGATGAAAGATTTCCGTGTGTCTACTGATACTATATCTCCTCTACACGTCTCTGGACGAACTTGACCTAGTTACCTAGCTGCAGGAATATGTCATGTTATCTCCGCTGAGTGCAGGTAACTCATATGACAGCTCACCGCGTAGCTGGGCTTCGATGAAGGAGGAGGTGAGATGATGCGAAGGTACGCGTTATATAGATGCCATATCGTATCATGGGATAAAGAGTGGGTCAAGTTTAATGGAACGTGGATAGAGTAACAGCGAACTCTCACTTTCATGTCCCCGCAGCCTATGGATCGCACATACACGTATATGAGCAAATATTTGTATCGTGTGTATGTCCACGTGGTATGTCTTTTCATATAAAGAAACGTCTCTGATGATTTATACAAACAAAAGCATGTTGATACGATTGTACTGAAGTGATGATACTGGATGATATTGAAATCCAATTACATCATTAATTTGCTTTACATTTTTTCTCTCCACAATATTTGAATGAAGAGAATTCGAAAACAGGCAAAAAGTAATAAGATTAATTAATTCTATATATACCGTTTAAGAGAAACATTCATCTTTCATTCGCCAATGTTAGAATATTTTAAGAAGTATGAAATTAATTATTAAATACTTTTACATTTTACGATCATCAAATTCTTAAAAGCTTATCTCGAATTTAATAATATGGAGAATGTTCTTATACAGGAGAGTGCTTTCCTCCATTTTTACATTTTTCACCGCGCGCGTTTGAAGCATCTTTCTGTCGTTATCTTCAGCTGACAGATGAATTCTTTTTCCTTTCGTCGCGGAAGAGGAATCGAGGAAGAGGTTCAAGCTTAGAGATATCATACGGCGAGGTAAAAAAAAAATACGTATCGATTCCGCTAGTCATTCAAGTACGCAACGTTCCACATTTTTCTAATTGATCTCTGCTGTGCGGGCAATCATTTTTTTTTGTTGACATTCATTGGATATCACCGCGGGAGATAAGGGTCGATAATAGCTTTTCCTAGAGGCACATCCGGCCTTCGCAAGATTCATCCTTGGAAGTCCAGTATGTTAGGTGGACCAAAACTAAATGCCGAAGGCTTTTATTAATGGCGAGATGGGCGCGAAATAAATACTTATTGTTAACGAGTTTTGTTCCCCTATATACATCGTATCGATTATCGACTGTGCCCTGTATATATATTTTATACAAGATTATATTATTTACATTTCTTGGACTTCTAAAAATATTTGTACACACGAACAGCAAAAAATATAACTCATAAGTATAATATGTTTCAAAATTATCTGAAATTAGTGAAATACGAAATTCCAATTACGACTTTATATAATTTGCATTCAAACAGAATTCTCTTCATTTATATCTTTTTCATATAAAAATTATTATTTTATTTAAATAGTACATTTACGCGAAAGTTTATTAATTAGAATATATTTCTACATTCTACTCCAATCGTTAATTCGAATACAAAAGGCCAATACATAATCCATTTTTCTTTCATTTTATTGTAACATTATAATATGCGAAGAGAATAAATAGCACACACTGACTCTCGAATATAGCTTTTATCTAGATTTTTACTTCTTTGACAAAGTGTGATAACGATAAATATTTGACTGTATTATCAAACTCTCGATATACATACACGTGTGCGGCTGCATATCGCCGTGTATGTAGAAATAAAAATCGAAATTTGGAGCCCCTCCGGATATAATTATGCTTTTCTGTTGCGAACTAATAACAGAAACTCTCGTGAACGAGACAGTTCCCGTTCCCTGATTATCCCGTCCACCTGTCACAGCGATTACTCGTAGATACATAATCCGATTGCCGTTTGCCGATGACAGGCGACGCCGTACAGAACGTATGCACGTGCAAGCTATGATTACACACGATGACCATGTTTATTCGCCTGCTGTAACCGGCGCCTGACCATCCGAAGATCTGGAACCGCGATGTACGTGCATTTCATCCGTAATGGCAATATATACAAGTTCACGATTGCAATCACGATCTCCGATGTTGCCGAATATTACGATGTGCAGCACATATCTCGTGCCTAAAGCATCATCGAACACATCACGCAAAATTATAGATGTGGAAAGCACATTAAATTTAACCAATGCAACATGTGCTGCAACTGAATATACAAGATATGCAATTCCCCTCGTGTTACGTATAAAATTTTTGTGAATGTATATTAATCTATAAAATTTTTCTGAATCTTTTTATATTAAATTGTTTTATATTATTTTATAAAATAATTTTTTATATTATTCTATAAAATTTTTCTGAATCTTTTTATACCTATTAAATTTAATTATTAAAAATTAAATCAGTTTTGCTTTCGATCATATCCACATGCATATAATCAACTCGTGCATCGACGCATTTTTACGAATTATTCGCCATTCGATTATTGGCCCTTCAGTCTTTGACCAGTTTGACATTTCAGACTTTCATGTAGACTTTCGCCTTGAAAGTCACGTCAGGGTTGCGTCGGATTTTATCGACGAATTTCCAAGCACGCGGGTGACACTGCGTGTATCAATGGCCGCGAATTGAAGGTGAAGTTCACGGTTTTAACAATCTCACGCACCACGCACAAAAAGCAACAGCAAGGGCGTTGCCAGGGGGAGGAAGGGGGGAGAGACAGTGACAGGGAAAGAAATCAAGGCGAGAAAGATACGATCGTGGTTGCACAATGTATAAAGAAGCACCGACATCGACGAGACTACACTTTTTGATTGCTCTCCGACAAAGGCGCAGCGAATCTGGAACGAGATGATCAGCCCAGGGCATCCGAGAATCCTCGTATCCCTTCTATTCTTTGGAATTTTCACGCGGATTCGAGCCGAATTTACTAATCGTGAGTAGATCCCGAATATAGTTTTATCATATGACAGGTTATTATGCTTCTGCAAGAATAATTTTTCGTTTCGTGAAAAAACATAAAACATAGACTACTTAAATGTAATGTCTATGAAAGTAATGAAAAAAATTTAATATTCACAGAGAGAAAGAGAGAGAGAAAATTATTTTCTTCAACTTCTAAGAGCATTTTTAATACGGTGAAAAAATACATGCTCCTACAGAAGCAAAGTAATCTTATGATAGTGTCAGAATTGCTTATTAAGAAATAACGAGAGAGTATGAATAATAATATAACAATTATTTCTATAATTAAATAAAGAATTATTGATCCCATTTCATCATTTTAAACTGCAACTTGTAAAAAAACAAAACACATTTTTAATAATTCCTAAGAATTCTCAATGCATACAATGCATTACAACTGGATACCTAATTTCAAAAAATTGAAAAATTCTTCAAAATGCTTTCATATGTAAAATTGTGTAAAATAATAATTTTAATACAACGACTATTAGCACATATGAAATATATGCATTTTATATTTTTAATTCAGGGTATTAAGTTTCCTATTTTTCAATTATGTGAATATTACTTCTGGCTGCAACATGCAACTCGAAATACGATGCCGCGTACTGTGTCTTATTACGCGTCGTAATAGTAATAACGAAATGTACATAAAGCATGTACTACAACACGCAGAAGGTACTCCTGCGCACTTATTTTCGTAGCTATCCGTGAAGTGGGAACCTAAAGCCTCTTCTGTGGTTCTCAAAGTTTAGGTAGTAAACTTACTTTATCAAACTACAACATCTATAGTAAACTCTGTATTAGTCAGTTGCCTCGAAACTCTGAGAAGCTCGCCAACTATTCCTGTTGCAATTAATTTTTCGAGAACTTATTTACTGCGTGGTGTATTATGCAACATACTTCATTTCGATATTATTCCGAGAAATTCGAATAATTTTGTGTTACCTCTTACCTTCAAATACGTTGTGTTTTTTATCCATTACGTAAATATCAGGAATCTCTCTTTAAATCAAAGTGACTCTGATTTTCTAACCATTTTATCATGTTAATGGTAAAGTTTCAGATAATTATCTTTAAAAATCTCTAATATATAATTATATTAATTATATTTTCTCAATTATTATTCATTATATAAGTGTACTATTGCAAAATTCATATTTGAATTTGTAGTCAATTAAACATTAAATATTCAATATCATGTAATATGAAAAATATTAATTTACATAAAATACACATAGAATATGAATAAAATAAAATTAAAAAAAATTTAAATCAAACAAAATTAACATATTAAAATTAAATTTTGCATTTTTTAATTTTACTGAATTTTAAATTTCATATTTTTCATATTTTTATAATCGATGTAATCAATAATGCGAGGTTATCAGATTACTTACGAAAGGAATAGGTTGGCAAAATGTCGTAACAGGTCAATTGTCCGTCGACTCTAGGTTTCCTTCTCCATTTGATCATTCATATGCAAATGTCGATTTAACTGCAAAAAGAAAAAAGGTATTATAGTAAAACTTAAATGGCGATAATAGAGCTGCAAACAAAATAAATGCATAAAGAGGCTTGCTAAATCGACAACTATCATTTGAAAAATCGGCAGGAAATCTCAAAATGTATTTTCCGGCAATTGAGACAGCGAATGCATAATATTATGCGCATTTTATGAACTGGCTCGCTGCCGCCGTCTCTCGACGACAAACTCGACCGCTACGACGGTCGCTCTCGTGTTTCTCAGTAGGGTGGCGTCCATTTAACCGGAGTGGAGGCACTAGACGGTGAGCGGAAGTCAATGGAGAATTCGGAATAGAAGCTTGCGGATTACGCTGCAACACCGGAAGTTAATAAACCGAATTTAGTGTTCGCCATTAGCGTAGCGAACATTCGCTCCGTCGCTGCTTTCCAACCAATACTAGGGAATGATTTAGCGAGAGACACTGAATGAGAGAATTAAGGGGGAGTAAAGCGAGAGAAGATATATATAATAAATATATATATATATATATATAGTAGAGGATGAGAGAGATTTGATGTTTCTTAATATATATTTTCAAGAAATATTTATTGAATTACAAGTCAATTATTTTGAGCGTATTAATTATTAATTTAATCACATAATAATTGATAACAATAGCAACAGAAGGTAACTGGAATATTGTTTGATATGTAATTCAATACATGATTCATACATGTAATTGATCTCTTTCCTTGATTAACATATTGCAGTATCACTAAAAACCACTGATTATAATATCAGTTGTAAAATAAAATGTGGATAAATTAGTCAAATAAAGTAAAAATCGATATTTATCTTTAATTAATCAGATAATACTTGAGGGAAATATTTTGTAAGGTTACGCCTTTATTATATCAGATATTTAGATATTAGATTATTATTTGATAATATAATTAAGCAGCTAAATATGTATACATATATGCCAAACATGCTACATCGATTGATTCAATATAGTTAGAGCTTGTTTATCACATAATTATAGTCCTATATTTATCTGGTTAAGTAGATACATTATATAATATATCTCTGTTTAATTACATATTTATATAAATCGTATATTTTTCGATAAATTTAATTTAATTTTCCATGCATTCTACCATGATAAAGTAAAATCTTTCAAATTATATTTAAACATTTTATATTAGAATAATATCTCTTTTTTAGATAGTTTAGTTTTTTTTTTTACATATGAAACATTTTTCAACAATTTGGCATCATTTATAACGTGTCTTTTAATATCGATGAAATTTCCACTTATTCAAACAAGTAGATACAAGAACGGGTAAATATTTCATTCCGCGTGTCAGAATTCATCGGCCAACTGGTCGAACGATCGGAATAAAATGCATGCGCTTGGAAAAAATGATGGAATTAACGCGCCGCAAAAAACTGTCTACCATGTTGATTTACATCCTAAAAAGCTCTCGTGCCAGAGACAGCACATTGATAGATTATTTGAACAACACGTACTGGTGCATAATGTAGATTGTATAGAGTGTCATTACCTCATTTACAATTCACTCTTTGATGCAAAATATCAGACAGAGCGCCGGCTGGGTGAATTTAATAAAGCTAATTATTTGTTTTACCGGCAATAAAACGATCGTTTCCATCAAATATTTAAGCACTATATTATGTGGAAGCGAAGCAACGTGGTTTATGCATCACATCGACAGCTGCCTACCAACTATTCCTTCACTGAACAATTACACTGATCGTTATGAGCATTAATTTTACGCTTCGTGACTGAGTAATCAACCGCGAGATTATGCGGGGATGATACAACATTTAAAATGATTAATCTTTCATATTGTCGCTTACTGAATAAAATTTTGATAATTATTATCACTCGACAGATTGTAATCAGCATCTGGCCCCTGTTAAACAAATTATATTATTGTTTGAAATTCTATGCATCGAATTCCGCGCATGTTATTTATTTGCGTAAATATATATATATATATATATATATATACATATATATATAAACATATATATATATACATATATATATATATATATATATATATATATATATACACATATATATTCTGAACGTTATTAAAACATTTTCCCGAAATTCAGAAACGGATGACTCGTTTTATAAATCCAACGATTTATAAATAAAAGATAATCAGTATTACATGGAAAAATATTCCTCGCATGAACTATTCGACTCGCAAACCGCTACCGTTATTTCGTTCGATAAACAAATTACGTTACCGCGTAAATTACGTTACCGTTACTTCGCCTGTTACGATCGCCTGCACATACGGCCGTTGTATAAACGTATCGAAAATCGAAAAAAAAGTGGTTTACCATTAACAGAAAAGTAATGGCATTTTTTATGCCAGCGTTCAACTAACAGTGAGCTTGAAACTGAGAATATAAATCTTCCGCGAATAATAAGTGTGAGTAGTTCAACTATTTGAAAAGATAGCCGCGTTTTTTTTGGGACATTTGTCCTTACGTAGGATGGGTGCGTACGGAATAGAAGAATAGATGTGAACAGCCTTGCCGAAGGCCGAAAGCTGACAAGTACGCGACCTCGGCGTTGCTCAATAATTCTCTACCTCTTTACGCGATTATTTCAATGTCAAAACCGTGACGAACGATATTAGAAAGGCTTTTAACCCACACGAGGTCACGAGAAGGCTTCGTAAACTTCTAATATCGGAGAATCTACAATTTTATCGATGGAAAAAGATACGAATATTAATTATTGTGTTTCAGTGATATGAATACAAAATATGGAAACTCTCTACATGTGCAAAATTTATTATATATTGTATATTTTTTTTAATTACAACTGTAAATTTTTATTTTATTTTCTATTCTTCTATAATTCTCGAAATGTCGCGAAAATAATAATTTTGGATATTACACACAAAAACTGTATATCATGCGTATAGAAAAAAATATCAATTTTATTAAATTTATGGAATAAATTTATCGAATTATCAGTGAGATTTAATTACATTATTCTTCAGAGTGATAAAATAAGAAAACTTTGCTTGTAGTGCATTTAACAACGTTACGTGTATTACAGTACAAATTTTGGATTATTAATGACTCAATTAATTTATTATTAATGACTCAATTATTAATGACTCAAATTAATTCAAAGATAAGCTTGAAATAATTAGAAAATAATTTCCAAGTATAGCAACTTTTATCTCGATTAATTTTGTCAAGTAAAATATCAAGGATAAAATTGTTTCGACAGATGTCCATGGTTGCTTCCAGATTTATCTTATCGTTGGCAGAGAATCAATATCGCGAGTAGAACTTAATCTTATAGATTCATATCTAAGATATAATATACAAGTTGGAAGAAGAGATTATACATGCACAAAGTCGCTGAGCAGAGACATTTGTGAAATTAAAACAAAAATAAATACATCATTTCATATATACAAACTTTCAATCATTAATCATCGCATATGAGATATAAAAACAATCGGCTGACATGTTGATTTTCGCGGAATATTTTGCACTTTGTTTTAAGAAATAAATTATCCTTTATCCAAAATTATTTATATTTGGCGCTATTATAAGAATAAAATATACTTGAATCATCATATTTGCATTCTTTCAAGGATACTGTTTTTTCTGTGCATAATATATGATCTCACAAAATAGAATCCAGATTGCCAATACAGCAAAAGCGCACGCTGCGACTTCGGCTGCCAAGATACGTACCGTCGATTTCGGAAAAGCCACGCTCAGGCTTTTACCGAAAACGCGCGAAAAGAGAGAGAGAGAGAGAGAGGTCTTTTTTCGACACTCCCTGAGCACAATCCGATCCGGGAAGGATAAACGGGGGCGGTTTCGCGTTCAACGCGGCCAGCCGAGGCATCGGCTCGTATTATCATGATCGCGTCCCCGAGCTGGTTTTGACATATCTATTACGCGTTTCGGAATAGAGGCGACTTCGAATTCTATGCCATCCCCGTTTCACCCTCCTACCATTCTGGCCGCTTCGACGTCCTTTCCTCGTCCGTTGTGGAAGAGCGGCAGGGATAGGAAATACCGGGTTGGTACCGGCGTAGAGGTCCAATTAATCAGTCGGGGCGTGAAACGAGAGAGAGAGAGAGAGGGGTTGATTCGAAGGGTGGGGTGAAGGGCGGGAGAGGAGAGGGAATAGGGACGCAGAGCAGGGGCGTCGCAGGGATTGTAGTGACAGATCCGTCGTATCTGTCCCTATCTGCTCGGGGCATTAAATTCGCGCGACGCCAACGCCGTGCCGCCACCAGAGAGGATTCATTCGAATCGGTTAACATTCCGGTAACGCAGCGATTCGGGTTTCAATTAAATGCAACGCCATTAACGGTCGCCATCGCGTCGCACCGAGGCAGATTTTAAGAATGTAATTTCATCTCTATATGTATCCGGTAACTAACGGATTAATGATTAAGGGCGGATTCTCTGGTCAATTCGGAGACGATTTTTCCTTAGCAAAAATGTTGAGAAGTCAATAATTTTCGAGTTATAAGCGATTGAAAAAAAATGGGTTTTTTGAAAACTAAACGTTTTGGAGTTAAAAGTCTAACATAATTACATTCGTCAGTTAATTTCAGGTAGAGTTTACTATAATAAAATTTTAATTTGAGGCTTAGTTATAAAGATACATAATGACAAATATTGGAAAGTTGTAAAAAATGATGACCTTTTTCGACATTTTTGTTGAGGAAAAATCGTTCTCAAATTGACCAAAGAATCCACTTGTAATTGTTGTTCCTTTAGTTATCGGACATCCTGTATATCTATTTTTAAAAGATCAGGGAAGATGACACGTTATATTGTGCTTTTTGTCAAATGTCCTATATTAATAGAGCCGATCGTTTCTTTTGCAAGTGTGACTGCAAGATTATGGTTCGGTTATAGAAATGTGAATTTTTTCATAAGCGAAGAAATTGTTAATAATTTGAACGGAAACTTGAAAATATGTAACAGTTATTGAAACTAATTATAATTAAATGTATCATTAAATATAATCTATAAATCTATAATTAAAATAATCTAAAAATTATATTTATATTGAATTTTACTTATAACAATTTGTGTGAGGCAAAAATCTAATGATAAATTCACTTCAATCAATAAGACTCTCTTCTACGTCCTTTTTGCAATGACCGAATCAATTACAAATTATTGTTAATGTAATTGGTGTAAATTAATTGTGCATACTAATTAATTGATGCACATTAATTAATAATGATAACAATTTATGATTATTGCCTACGGTAATGATAACGGTTTATAATCGTCCATTGCGTAAACTAAATAAACCTTTATTGCATTTTAACTGCATCAATCACACACATACATCCATGATCATAACATTTATTTACATCTTAAAACAAATAGATTAAATCTTTTCTTTTTAAACCACATTAAATATAGGTATGTATTTGCATAGTTGATGTTTCTTGAATTAAATATTTTGATAACAACAACAAATTAAATATAAGTAAAATTTATTGAAGTAAATATTATATATAGTGAATTTTCTTCAAAATTCTTCTAAAAGCTGCAATCATTATCTTTAAATTTTTAATTTAAAAAATAATACATCGAACAAATAAATGTAAAGTTATACTATTATTTAGCAAATATTAACTTTTGCAAAATATCTTTAACAAAATTTTATTATCAGATTAATTTATTAACAATAATATTATATGCTTAAAATCTTTGATAATTATATCTTTAAAATTGGTCACAAACCCATTCGAGCGTCTGTCAAGAATCTTATTATATACGGAAGCTCTATCCATTGAAGCCATATCACGAACATTAATCATTGAATGCTAGAGCCGATCAATAACCTGTCAATATGCTCTCATCAAGAATACAAATGCTAATTCCGTACGGAACAATCAAAGCATACGACGATACTATCAATATCTAACAACAATTACGATTTTCTGAATTTCCCGTGGTTCGTTCTGTCGATAAGACATAAAATAAATGAAGCATAAAATAATAAATAAAATATACATAGAATAATGAAATATAGAATCTTTCGTACACATTTGTTCTGCAGGAATTCATGGATATCACAGATGCATGTCTTGAAAAACTGGTAGTAAACTCTTGTAGAAAAATATACAAAAAGTAAAACTACAGAAAAGATACTATTATGAGGAGAAACGAGATATCTTAATCTTGTAAAAGTTTACAATTTTTATAATAAGTTAAAAAGAGGATGCACGATATACACTCTCCGACAAGGTAATAAAACATTGAGAGTATCGTTAAATTATACAGCGCGTCATCCAATTTGGTGATTCTTTGGACACTTTCAACGTGTCGATACTCATCTTCGCTTCGTTCTCGCGCAAGAAAAAGAGAACGAAAGCGACACCCAAGATCGTGTCGCTATCGATCGATGCGATATTGATGGCTTCGTATATTGCGCCAAGCCTGCTTGCAACTAGATCACCGAGGCAATTAATCGTTACCGAGCATTAACGAGAAAATCCGTATTTGATATTAGTGGCAGATGTTCCATGCGGTACAAGCGGCATACGACAGGCGAGAATTGTCGGAGGTCAGGACGCAGCACCACGTGAGCTGCCATGGCTCGTAAGCATAACAAGAAAGGGTGGCCACTTTTGTGGGGGTGTCATCTTGAATTCCAGATTTATAATGAGCGCCGCGCATTGTTTTTGCTCGTAAGTATAATATGTATTATATTATAATTTATACTGCACATATATAGAAAAGAGTGATGGCAAAAAGGCCTGTTTTTTCGCCATTTTGTAGGGTCGAATTTTGGGATCTCAAATTTCAAACTTTTTTTATGCCAAATAATATTGCTGGATGAGACATTAATCACAGAGAAATTTCAAGATGAGCATAAGCACGGTTCCTTAGATATGAAGAAGTGAAAGTGATAATTTCTCATACACTGACTAAAAATCATCACTCTCCCGCCCTTGTATATCCGGAACCGTGCCTATGCTCATCTTGAAATTTTACTGGGATTAATGTTTCATATAATAGTACTATTTGCCATGAAAAAAAAATGTTTAATTCAAGGTCCCAAAAATGGGCCAAATTTGCCATCACTCTTTTAATCTCTTGTCACTATATACAATCGTTGCAATTTTTTATACTTGAAATTTTCTGATTACGTGTTTATATATAAAATTCTTGTTTTTATAATGAACATGCACGCCAAAAAAGTTAAATTTTATATATAAAAATATGTGTGCGTGAGTATGTGTGAAAATAAGTATATATATATATATATATATATAAATATCCATGTTCTTAATTTTGGTTATACTTTCGCAACAAGTTCTCAAAAGAGGCATCTCTTCATTAACGGAGTACATAGACTGTAAAGACTAAGTCCTTTACAAAGTAAGCTCTATTTTCAACGGTCGATCGGAAACTTACAATTTCTTGACAACTTTTAATGGGATACGCGCATATTAAATCTTGTTAAATCCGCTAAAGGTTGTGATACCTGATTATTATCTCAGATTATTTATTTATAGAAAATGTTCCATTTGATCAAGAATATCTTATTACATTTTAATTTTGTCTTCAATTTTGTGACTTTCACAGTCTTTTGAGCTTTAGTCAGTGAAATGTTTGATGTTAAAGAAACTTATAAAACCTTTTCAAGATAATTATTAAAGAAAAATTAATTTAAAAATTTAAAATAATTTTCGTTGTAATAATTCAGCAAGATTTTTACGTATGTTTACAATGATAGTTATTTAATATATGTTTCAAATATTGTTTATGTCTACATATGGAATATTGTCAGTGATTATTCAAATCTATTATTATTGTAAGATTCGGTCGACTTTCTATTTTATTCGTTAAGTTAACCACTTTTTAAAAAAAATCCTAATTATGCACAAAAAAAGACATTTAAATAGAGAAGAACTTAAATAAAAGCCACTAGAAAATTTAAAAGCGACATCACAGAAACGTTCTTCGATCTCTTATACAAATATAATAAGATAGATGCAACTGTATGCGTCCGCATACGACTTTTATCGTGTTAGTATGTCAAAATTCAAATAAAAACAAACAAATTTTTCACAGCAAACATTATGTTCTTATAGAATATTTCGGAGCATACTGCTACTAATTAATCAATAAGTACAAATTGCTCTTAATAAAATACATACAATAATAGTGAGAGAGAGAGAGAGAAAAGAGATAAAAAGACAGACAGAGAGAGAAGTTCATACATATACAGACACTATAAAAATAGTAAATCTTATTTTAATATCAAGTTATTAAACGACGATTATAATCATCCGATAATTTAAAATCAGCATTGTAGAATATTTCAAACAATCTAGCATATAAATAATTATCCTGTAAAAAAATTACTTTTACATATACATACACGTCAGAATATTTTTTAAATGATACTAAAATAAAATATTTTATTTTCTATATACATCATCCTATCAGCAAAACGATTATTGTGTGTCGTTGAAAATCTTACATCTATCATTGGACAACGCTTTGTCAAAGCAAATGCAATAATAAGTAGGAATGATTATGTCGCGCATTAAAACGGATAACAATTATTATTACTGCGTAGCAGATGAGTTTGCTATGCGGCCGCGGGGATGTATGCGGGACAGCTTTCGTGTAGATATAATTAAACAGGCGAGCAGACCTACAGCCGGGTGAGCAACAAAACGTGCAGATATTGCATATCCCTTTCGGTTACTGGACAGATTACAGCGGGATGGAGAGGGCGATAGGGGCCGTTCGAGAGTAGCGAGCGACCGTAGAGAATTCAGCGCTGAGCTTTGGCGTTGTAAACCATGATTGCGTGTAGATTACAGACCACTCAGTAATTGCTAGCGGCCATGCAAAACGCACGGAAAACGTTGCAGCAAGACGCGAGATGAGAGTGTATGAAAATTAAGGGACTACCCATTTTCGTCACATTCTCTCCCTTGCTTTCGAGCCTTTTCATTTTTTCCCGTTTTTCTCTGTAGCATCATTTTTATAAAAAAAATGACGTAGGATCGATGACATCTAACACTTATTTTTATTTTTATGGTAGTGGTTCTTGGTGATTAATATATATCTATCTAGACATCAATCGCGAAAGAAAGATTACAAAATGAAATTCGTAATAATTTGCTTTTTGATCTTCTTCTTAAATATTTTAGTGATGTACAGCTCTCAATAATTAGTTTGCTATAAAATATTTTAAAATTCATTTAACTTAAATAAAAAAAAAATATTGTGTTACATAATTAGTTTTGTGGCGGAACTTAAATCTCCGAATGATACATGAATAAGCTGGTAACGTCTATTAAATTAGAAAGAAAACTGTGACATGATCCAAAATAGTATACATATATATGACTCAAACTAGCTGTACGCAAACAAAATAGAATTCACTGGATTAGCGAATGATTAAATAAATTATTACTCTCCGTTCTATCACAAACTGATAGCATGACGACCAATTATTATTAATACAATGCCCGCTATGAATAATATGGTTGATTAATCGTTATGCGAGCAGGTATGAATTATACCCGTATGGTGATACAAGAACTGGCAGCCTAGCGACGCAGAGTCGATATTTCTCGTTCGACGATATCGCACGGTAAATTAATGTTCAACACTACCTTATTGCTAACGTCATTCTCCGCGCAGCGTTGCGTAATTCACGACTGCGTCCCGATGTCGATATAGTGGTGCCAGGAGAGCCGCACGATATTTAACGAGCCGAACCGAAATTAATTCCAATCGATTTACCGATTCGGCATCCAATTAATTTTTAACGAGGCCACCAGTATGTAGAAAAAATAGATCGCTGTCGCACTCTCGAATAGCAAACACTGTTCTCGTACAATAAAAGGAGGATGCGCATGTGCAATTTAATTGCAACAGTGTACGTTGGACAATTGAGTCTCGTTTTAATTTATTTTAATAGATGGAAAAACGTCGTTATACAATTCTGCTTTTTTTCATCACTTATCTTCCGTGATGAATGAATAGAAAAAAGATATACGTAAAAATATAAAGACCATAACAAATAAATTAAGGGCGTGCGCGTGTATATGTGTGTGTGTGTGCGTATATAAATATATGTGTGCATATTACGCTAGGATTAAGTTTGGTTTCATTTAATCTCATATTGATTTGGGATTAAAGCAAAGTAATTTTCATACACCTCTATATTTAGACATTGTGTGAAATATGTAATAGTTAATTAACACAAACATTAATATCTCATTTGTTGTCAACCGGATGTTGCATTTGGATTTCCATGTGTCTCCCTCATCATTATATAGGTGAACTTTATATATAATGATATGTAGACAATCAAAAGACAAAAAATGCAATTCGATTCATAACAAATAAGATACTGAACACGCATCTAATTGATAATCATGACATGTTACAGGTAATGTATATGTTACGTGAATATAAAAGAATTTATAAAAATAATCTTACTGAGAAAAATTTACATAAAAAATACAGTGTTTTTAAAAAGCTTTTGAACATGCCGCTCTGTCATTTTTATGCATCTACTTGACATCGAATTACTACCTTTGTGTTTTTCATTCAATAATAACGCATATATGCATCTTTTTTAATCTCTATGCCAATTTTGCAATATATATTTAAAATTAATTTTTTTTATACAATATCAATCCACTTAAAGTGAATATTTATAGTATATTGATTTGCCTAAACGAATCGCATCGCTGCAACCGTTGCACTCGTCGATGCAACGCCCGAGCGCTCGCGCATTTTAATTGAAAGGGTGCAGCGTCAAGAAGAGAGAGAGAGAGAGAGAGAGAGGGAGATGCATTGAAAGTAAACCGTATAATCCGCGAGCCGTGGGACAATAGCGGGAGACTCGACGACGATGGAAAGGTCCATTAAGGCGGCTTTGTAAGGAGCGGCGGCGAAACAGGACCTGGAAACTTAGAAAACGCTCCGCAATAAACTTCTGAGGAAGAAATGGCGAGGGAAGAAGGGATGATACGCAAGGGGTTGCTTGACGAAAATGGACCGGCGGGGTGAAATAGCGAAGGAAGAAGGGAGAAGGACCACGGATACAACGGATAGTCCTGATGGAAGGGGTGTCGTAATTTTGTTAATTATTCAGAGGCACCGTAGACCGATTAATTAACTGAAGCCACTTCGGCCGGGTCAGGTATTTCAAGAGAGCTCTGCAGACGCGGACGCGCCGTTCGAGCGGCACAAAAATCCCGGTTAAATAATTACTGACGTTTCAGGGAAAGAAACTGCGAAAAAGCCGGAATTCGTTGGTGAAATTGAGAGGGCCATGGAAGGAGGGTAGCGAGATATTAATCGACGACAGACCATTTTTTTATCCCTCCGAAATGCATACAAGCGCTCTCGTACTCTTGGTGCACTTAATTCTTGCGACGATTATGGAATTCAGAAAGAAATATTTTTATCGGCTCTCAATATAAAGAATATAAATATGATGTTATTTAAATCGGCCAACAGAGCCAAAGCACGAAAAATTAATTATTCGGAACTGTATTTCTTGATTTGAGATCACTAAGTTCCATATATAAATTAATCTCGAAACTTACATAACTAGTGATCTCAAACCAAGAGATACAGTTCCGAATAATTAATTTTTCGTGCTTTGACTCTGTTGGTCGATTTATATAACATCATGATTATGGAATTGTTACGAGTCAAACAAGATATAAAAATACATCGTTACATTCTTGATTTGCATGAGACGCAAGAATCAAAACTCATACTGTTTTATTTCTCATTTGCTGTTTTTACTATGTGAACATAAAAATTCATGCAGATTGTAGATAAATCGAATATTTCGAAATTTCAGGGGTGAAAAATGTCATCTCGAATTATTTTGTCAAACTTTATATGCCGCTGTCGCATATAGTTGTGTACTTTCATTTTCGCTATTTTTTATTCAATTTTTTCCAGGTAATAGCTGCGAGCAATTAGCAATGATTCTATATAATGCATATTATATATAAAATACTATACCTTTTTAGTATTACTTAATTTTAATACTATATTTTTCTCCAATTGTGTAATTAATATTTTTTTATTCCCTATAAAGCATATATCTTTTTCAGAGAAAAATGGAGAGAAAAAAAACTCTAAAATTATGATATACAAATTATATATAATTTAATTAATAATAAAGATTGTTATATGCAATCAAGTATCTATCTGATAATAAGCCGTATCATTCGCAAATTGATTTTCGTTTGCTTTTAATTCAGCGGCACGAATCAAATTCCGGTGGGACAACTGCGCGTCACGTTAGGCGAGCACAATTTAAGAGCTCCAGAAATGCCACCCGCAATACACGAGAGCGTCATAAACGTGCTGTTACATCCTAGTCACAAATGCGGCAAGTATGTGGACGATATTGCCCTCCTGGAACTTGCAAGACCGATCAGCTGGTCGGAGAGCGTGAAACCCGCATGTTTACCTGTGGCCACAGGAACACCAGGATATAGTGCTTTCGATGGTATGGAGGCCATGGTTGCAGGTTGGGGTTGGCTCGGAGAAGATAGAAGTAGATGTGAGTATATAGATGTAAAATAATTGTCCCTCTTTTTCACATCAATTATGATTACGGCGGAATTAATTCTCATTACGTTAACTATTCCGACAGACTTTGATACCGAGTTAAATGTGATGTATATGACGTTTAAAATTATTGTGACGGAAATTTTAATTATTCTCACATTACTTTACAAAAGAATTTTTTAAGATATACCTTACGATATTGCCAAAGATTCAAATATTTCATATGTTCGATCAATATTCCATAAGAAATTCATGTTTCAAACTGCAAACTGAGTATTATGTTCTATTATTCATACATGTTATATAATAAATATAATATCTAATATATAAATTATGAATTTAATTGCATATAATAAATATAATATCTAATATATAAATTATGAATTTAATTGCATTTTATCGTATCATATCACTTTTTAGTAACTTATCTGGTTTGAAAAAGTTTGACTTCTAAATATTCTAATGTAACTTCTGCGAAACTTTTCATCAAAATCAAGCGATATTCAAACGCTCTCGAATGCTTCCAATTTCTGTCAATTACTCGTAAATAGCATACCTCGAAATGTACAATGTGTCAGCATTTTGTACATGTACGCGATTGTAACATAATTCTCGAGTGGTAAATAAGTTTTCGATAGACTGGATATATTAGAATGTGAATAATCTGAATCGTGTTATTCAAGTTGCGCTCAAGGCGTTCATAAATACTTGAGATATATCGTAAGATGTTTCGATGAATATTAACATGATAACGAAGCAACAAAACACGCATCCAAGTTTCCATAATCACCAAAGTTTCCGCGAGCATCGAATTCTATACGCCAATTGAAATCAATAAAGTGGCTAAGGTTATCTTAGACAAAAATTATCAAGTTGTGCTGTCTCCAGAAATTTACAAAAATTTGTAATTAATATATCAATCATGACAGTAATAATTAAAAAAATTCCGTGTATGATCAATTACATTTTCCTGGATATATCAAAAGTGATTGTACATTACGGTTTAAGCAGATCTAAATTTGTTATTTATATACATATATTATTTTTATCGTTCTACTTATAGAGAGAATAAAAATGATCTAATTTAAAGCGTTATCGTTGGCACAAACTGCCCTTATTTTCACTATTGCACATTCAAAGTTTATATTGCGATTCGATTAAAACTACATAACAAGTTTAAATCGTTTGCGAATTCAAAACAAATCTCGTCGAGATATGAGAAATCATTTTTTGTCCATGAAAGAAAGTTGCTTGCGTATACCAAAACGATCGCCATTATATTTCGCAGACAAGAGGGCAGACGTGTTGCAGAAAGTGGAGGTTCGCGTGGTAGCAAACACTGTGTGCAGAGAATGGTATGCTAGTCAGGGCAAGTCGATCCGCGTGGAATCAAAGCAGATGTGCGCAGGTTGGGAAGAGGGCGGAAGAGATTCCTGCTGGGTAAGTAAAAAGGCATTCCATTGCCCGAATTCATCTTCGGGTGCAAAATGTCCGCGTGTGCACTCGCATTTTTTTGCATTTCTGCATCGTTGCTCGCCCGGCGTCGCTTGTCAATCGCCCGATCACGGAATTCATGGTTCGTCGGGCGGGCGCGACGCGAATTTCAATAAATACCCACGATACCGTGGTAATGCGCATACAATGCTGCTCGGGCATGATAGCCGACCACGCCGGATGATACCGGTTCCCCGGTAATTGGATCGTATATAATTGCATCGGCCTCGCTCTGCGGATCTCTAACGTGGACAGATATTTATGCAAAATTGAGACAGGGATTTGAAAAAGAATGATAACGTTTACTAAAAGAATAAAAGTATTATATGAGTTTTCTACGTCATCGCCTTCATTATTCGTCCGCGATAAGGTATATAAAGAACAGTGATTAAACGAACTCGGTTTAGAGGATTTATATTAATATTAATGATGATGTACATTTTGCAGAAAGTATATAGGTACCTGTCACGTGTAGCAAAAACATTTTTTGATAAATGATTAGGAATATTTTGTTTAGCCAAATTTCTAATAGTATAAATCAATATATAAATTACAGGGAAGCCAATTTTGCGTTTGAGATATGCTTTTGATATTATAAAGTATAAATATAAAGATGATTATGGTATAAAGATATTAATGATATCATCAATGCAGGCATTCGCATGCATCTGTTAAACATTAATCTAAAAATCGTATTTTTTTTATGTTCGAAAAAACGAAAAGTAATCTCGTATACACTGTAATGATGTCATGATAATCTACAAATCAATTTTGATTTCCTTTCAATAATTTATTTATAATCCTCTCTCTGACGGGGATGGACAGTGCTTTCTTTGTCATGCGAATGTTAGATTGACATTGTCAATTAAGTAGTTTCTCCTAAAACATTTTATTTCCGCGAATTCTACCGTAGCATTATCAAGTCAACGTCTATCGGAACTAAAATAAGAATATTGTTCCCCTTCTTGTCCCCGATAAGTTTTCTCCGTGTCTTCGTCGCGTTCTTATCAGCAATTTCTATTTCCTTTAGACGAAGATATTCCCGGGAAAACAATCGAGAACGGACATATTGCTTCGAAATATATTGAAGAGGGAAAAAGTACAATACCACTGAGGGTTCCGATGGGAATTGAGATGTGCTAGATTTCTTGTTTACCTCGTTTGCGCGAAAACTAGGACTGGCAACTATAAAAATTGATTTCGGGGTATATCGAACGTGACGCGATTTATTTAATTATAAACGATTCTATAATGTTTACGAATGCATCAAAAAATAATCTATTAATTCTCTAATATTTTTCTGAAGATATCATTTTAATATACATATATATTTGCTACAGGATATAATTACTATAAATTATAAAATCACTTTTGATTAACTTCATATTTAAAAAATTGGAAGGTAGACAATCAAAATGATATTCTATACCAATCTCAACAATAGGATTTACATTTTAGCGAACAAGAGAAATATTTTTTCAAGAAATTATTATTTCCCAACAAAAATTTTACGAGACATCAAGAATATACTTAAAGAAATTTTTTTAATTTTTATAAGAAAATTAATACATAACCCGATAAAAATAAATATTATCCTTAACCCAAGTAGAACAGAAAAGTCAAAATAATGTCAATTTGACGTCATCTTGACCAAATTTGAACTCCAAATTTGATCAATATATGACGTCAAAATGATATTATTTTGATTTTCTGTTCTACTTGAGAAAAGCTCGTAATTACCGTCTTGCAAATTTTAAACGACGAAAATAATTCAGATCCGTGTATACATAGAATCGTACCGAAATTCACCGTAACAGATATTCTCGTAACTTTACAGCTCAAATTAAAGCAAGTAAAGTTTGTATTGCGTCGTTTAACCACGGAAGCTTACGGGATGTGCGGACATTGCACACATCCTGTACTTTATTCCAGGCTGACAGCGGCGGGCCCTTAATGGTTGGAAATCATCCTGTCGAGCCTTTGATGGTGATCGGAGTAGTCTCGACTGGCATAGGTTGCAGCAGAACACGACTGCCGGGTATCTACACTAGAATTTCGGACTATGTGCCGTGGATTGCACAAGAGACACAAACCGGATGATCAAAGAAAGTACGAATACGAGCTTTATATTGATACTTAATTCTTTGTCTAGAACGAATTCGATTCCTATCAATGATTGAAATAATTACCTCAAGTTAGTAACTCTTTTTTTAGACCTATATACATATATTAATATATAATACTAATTATTTTGAACTTATAATTTGATAATATTGACATGTTTTAAAGACGTATGTTTAAAAGACGTAAAAAATTATTAAGATGTGTACGTTTTCGAGATAGTTTTCAGATATATGCTGCATTAATTATTAAACATATAAATATCATAAAATATATTCGTTCACAAGAATATGACAATTTATGCACATTATAATTACAAATGCAAATTGTATTATAATTGTATATATATATATATATATATTTGTTATATCATTGTAAATAAAAATATTTTTAGCATTTATTTATATATGTATTTAATAATTAATGCAATAAATATATGTGCATATATTTGTATAAAATATATCTTTAAAAACACATTAAATGTATGGTTGCATATATTTAAAAGTAGCAAAGATATTATTCGAAAATACATATAGTATTCAAAATATTAAGTAAAATATTAAATATATGATCACGATTAAAACCAATATGTATTTCCCGACTAAAAAAATACGTTACAGACAAAAACAATTATAAAATTGTTTCGGCTAAATAGAATTCGACAATTAATAGAAGTTTGTTAAAAAAATCTGCGTGCAATCATCACATATATGTGTGTATGTGTATACATATATATATTCTTACAATATAGTAAAATCATACACTTATTATCGTATATTTCAAATAAATACTCGAAATGTTATAAATTTGAAAAATTCTATTTATAGTCAGTAAACTTATATTTATGTATACAGAATTAATGATTTAAAAAAATATAATATGAGAAGAGGTGATTATATATAAAAAATAATTATGATAAAAAATATTAGATGAAGATATATATGTATAAAAAAATGCAAGCTTGTACAAGATTATTTAATCTAGTCATTTATATTTATTTATATATATATATATATATATGTGTGTGTGTGTGTATAATATATATACCTAGTATAATATATGTGATAAATATTATTTTTGTATATATATCCTCAAGTTGTTTATTTATAAAAATGTCTGTAGAGTAACAATTAATTGTTATAAATAAAAGTTAAAAAATTAAGAGAAGAAACATGATAAAAATAATTTTTTAAATGAACCAATTTATAATTTAATAAAAATGTCAGTTGCAAACAATTTTGGTGACTTAAATTTGAAATAAAAACATTTTAATAGTTTAATTTTTAATTAATGTAATTGCTGAATAAGAACAAGTATGTATTACAGATCAAATTTAGTGTTAATGTAATGTTAATTTCGCTTGCCAAATTATGTATTTTTGTATTCTAGCACTTGAAAAGGACCACAATGTGGGTCAAAACGTAGTGTGTACTTATTTTTAATAAATGAATAGCCAGTTTTTGGTCGAATTAAATTGCATCTTATTATTTGTGAAAATTTTATCACTGGCAATCAACAATTAATTGTGAAGATTTTAATAGTGTTATGTATTTTAATTATTTGGAGTTCGAAAATAATGTACCACATAGAATTTTTATAAGATAATATATCTATTAATATATCCAATTATATGTTCACAGTTAATAATAAATCATAATACATAATAATCACACCCTTCTCCGTTTTCGTGGTCTAGGTGGATTCCAACTTACTCTAGTAGCATCCGTAATTGATATAATATTTAATCCTGTCATTTGTAAACCTTTTATAGAAGACTGAAACATAATTTTCATTATTAGAACGTGTTAAAAATTATTCCCTATTGAAATAAATAACCATTTTTTTTAATACATACCATTCTACCTGGACCAATACCTTGTACCTTTATTCTTATTGTATTTACACCATATTCACGAATACGCTAAATAACAGATATATACATTTGAAAGATTATATTTATATTACATCTACTACACATACAATCTATAGATCTATATTTACATTGCCAAGTGTAATAGCTGCTTGTTGAGCAGCAAGGTTTGTCCCTTTCTTAGCATTCTTAAAACCTTCTATACCAGCTGAATGCAGCATTAATACTCTACCACGACCTTCTTTGAAGTTCATAATTGTGTTATTAGGAGTTGATTTTATATTAACAACATGTATATCTTTAAACGGTCTACCATCAAAGAGTCGATTTGGTGTATCTTCATTAGGAAATAGATGTTGCCTGAAAAACATAACAAAAATAGGGAATTTTTTAATCAATAATAAAACAAATAAAATGCAATAAATGATTATGTATTCTTTTATTCATATTACAGCTATAAATAATAATAAATACAGCTATAATTATAAATAATTATTATCCATCTAACATAATGAGATAGTTGGACAAAGTTAATTGTACAATTGTAATTAGTACTTACTGTTGATTAATATTCATTGTTTCCATCGTAGTTTCTCCGTCTACTAATCCATATTTCGAGTTACTGCCAACCTTCACTTTTTCATTATCTATACGAATCACTTTCCTAGATAAAGAGGTAGTGCAAATGTTTTTTGAGGTTATATTTAAATTGGCAAACAATAAGGTCAATCGACCATCAGCTGACGCACTTCCCTTTAATATAGGTAATTTCGTCATACGTAAAGCAGATTGAATCATTTTAATGTTTATTAACTAAATAAAATTTTAATATTTTATAAGAAATAGTACACGAAAACAAGGAGCAAGCAGAATCACTATCTTACTGTCGCTATTGCCATCTCTGTGCTTCTTCCAGCATTGTGAAGAAGGAAACATCGACACGATGCAGCTGACTTCTCGGTTACTGGCGACCTCTCGCACAATCCAGCTGTTTGACAGTCGGTATTTTTGAACTTCTCGAGTCTAATCGATTTTTCGATATATATCGACCTGATTAATTCAAATTATTCGAATAATATATTCGAATTATTGTCATTCAATATTTGTATATTATCTCATAATTTTTATATTAAAGTTCTATTTCTTATTTATCACATATTATACATTTATTAATTAAAACTAGTCATTAATTTTCAATTGTGTGTGTTTATTTAAGAATTTTTTATAAACATATGGCAACTCTCTCTCTCTCTAACTATATGTGATTTATTATTATTATTTCGCATTATATTTTTATAAATTTATTAGTTGCAATGTGATCCAACGAAGAAAACATTTAATATTACTTTCCTAAATACATGTTATTAATATTTTTATTAAATAAAAAATGATTTATATTGCTTTTATATGATAATATAAAATATATACTTAATAATTCTCATTATAATACTCGTATACCGATAATTTGATAATTACTCACATCTTTGAATAAATAATTCTATTATATATACACATATATATATATTTTTTTATCATTTTTCATCGATGGATTTTTACTTTTGACAACAATTTGAGGAGATATTTCACTCTGTTACAAACGGAGCAATATAATCAATTAGCGCGCATTAGTTTCACTAACACCTTTTAATCTCGAGTAATATGATATTAAATGCCAAATTAAATTGGTAAGATATTGCTTGTTTTGATCTATACATGTATGCATATATATTTACAGTGTAAATCGGCGATGATTGAATTTCACACTAATCGCCTCAAATTGAAAACAAACTTCTCTTTTAATAGATACACAATATACATTATAATAACACAATACAATTTTTCATGCTTAAAAATTCATTATTATATTAAAATATTTAATGAAGAAAATTAACATATCGCTTCTTTCTTTTATTTTAATGTATATGTTGTATTACATCAACATTAAAAGTAGTATAAAATTTGTATTAATAACTTATTTTGCTTATCTACATTTTTTTTTTAATGTTTTATTTCAAATTACCTACTTTTCTATTTTTTTATTCTACAGTTTGATAATAATTTGCTCCACACACAACGCATACATACACGTTTATATTTAGAATATCCAATCTGTTGCTATAGTTCTCAATTTCTTTCATTAGCAATACCGTCCGAATATTCGAAACAATGCATATGATTTCAATAGTGCAGAATTACGTATTAGTTATCATCAGATAGACTGTGTTACACCGCATTTCCCTTACGAGCCATTTCTGGTTCGTGGCTTCTCCATCTACAATACACATGAATAATGTGACTGTGATAGTATTGTGTATTCACGAGTATGTAACTCTTCGTATTATCCAATTCGATTAAGAAAATTTGAGTACGACGAATTTAAATGGGATGTTGTACATACAATCATCACAAGTTTGAATGTAATGTATAATAAATATATCATATTATATAGATATCATTACATAAAATGTAATTGCTTAAATAAGCAGCCTCATTAGCATTCAAATGACAACTAAATCAACATTTTTAAGGAAAATTCAATGCTTTGTTAAGCATTAAAATTATATGTTTTGCATATTTAATGCGCAAACTTTTAATATACAAATTTCTAAACGTGTAATATATTTAAAAATATATTTACATATTAATTTTTGGAGTTAGAAAGTACTATTAGAAAATACTGTCAAATAGAAAACTAAAAAATATATGTATATATTAATATACATATATATAATAGTTTTTTTCCTGAAAAAGCGTGCGAAGTTGAAAAGGTATGTAAATAAAAATATTTGTGGAGAGAAATAAAAATGGTAATACTTTATCGGCGAAAAATGCTCAAAATATGTTTTTAATTGTTCAAGTAGCGTATTACCAGCAAATTGCAAGACATTATGTGGAGAATAAATTTACTAGGTTGTTATCGAATATTATGCATAGGAGGAAACGATTCGCTTTATATTTATCAAATTAATAGCGCTGATTCAATGGCTTTGTAAGGAAGCTTTCAAAGTAGAATTTACTTCGTATACGACAAGGTTGGCACGAGGCATGCTTTCTCTCTCTCTCTCTCTCTCTCTCTCTCTCTCCATCTTTCTCCATTCGCGGGTATACTCGAATTAATTACGGGACCCCTCTCATTTACGCAGTTATTATGAACCTTACCCTAAGACCATTACTGAATTACGCCAGAAGAGCCTTGAGGAACTGCTTACGCCTGTCTGTTTGCACGCGCATCTAGCATCATAGCTTCTCCATTTATATATATTAATAATTTCTATAAATATAAATACTGTTATGCACTTTTATCAATATCTTATATAAATATTTAGATGAAACACCATCATTTTTAAAAGAAAAAAGAGCACAGAAAAATGCAGATAAGATGTATTTAATATATTAAAATTTGTGATGGGCATAGAAATGTTCTCTGCAATATTTTAATTTATCATTAAAATTGTAAACTGTGTAAAATTTATTTATATTAATTTACAAGTGGTTTATTTTTACACGAATAAAATTATGTAATAACATGTTCCAAAAATTCAACATATTTAAGTTGTAAACTGTAATGAGAATTATACGTGTATGTCTTAATTAAATTGCAAATACCTTTGCGGAAATTAATGCATATTAAATATATATAATTCATTGTTCATTATTCTAATTAATTTAATTCCAATTAAGCAACATATCATTACCTAGTACCATTTACTTTGAAGCATTTTTGTACAATATTCCGTTTCATTCAACACGTGAACATTTTTGTTTTGCCTCGGGCGATTACTAAAAACTGATGTACAAAAATGAAATTTTCTCTCGAGCATCTCGCTCGCATATTCCACTTCTCTCCTACTTCATGTGTCGAAGCGAAAGGTTTTATATCGGATTTAACGTCATCGGCGATGGTGGCGTCGACGAGAGAAATTTGGTTTTCAATACAAAACGAGCCTCCGCAGGAACAGCAAACGCGTCGTGAGAGAAACGGTAGAGAGGAGTAGCTCTGGGAAAGTCAGCAAGCATTCACAGCACTCAAGCTCGGTTTATCCAGAGGAATGGTATCGAGTATCTGCTCGTACCCGTTCTTCCCGTTTAAGCGCACAACCGAGGTATTCTATTCTTTGAGGACCCACAGACTTTCCCCCGATATTTCTTAAAGCGGTTGCTACTACGATAGATTCTGTGCACTCGTTTTATGCGGCTACTTTTCCGAGTTTCCTTCAAATACATCATAAGGTTTCCGACAATTCGAAGGAAACAACGCGACTCGAAAGCGCAGTTTTCAAAGCCAAGCTCGCATTTACGTGCACATCCTACTACTTTCAATATTGAAATATTGGGGCCAATCTATGTGTGTGTGTGTGTGTGTGCGTGTGTGTAAAATATATAATACAATGTCTCATAAGAGAATATTTATTGTTCAATTATGTACTTTTGAAATTAACATGAAGCTTGGGAAATTTGATGAGTTTCAAAGTTCTGATGAGTTGGCTAATTTGATTGTAATTTGTTTCATAAAATACAAAATAAAATTAGAAGTCATAGCTTTATATACTTTACACACAAAGATATCTAAACATTATTTTAATTTTTAAGACAAAGATCTCCGTTAATTTGTCTCCGCGAAAAAGACAAAAAAATGCAAGTTTTGTATTTATTCCTGTTAGGTCTAATTGTATTTGAAATATATATAAACACATTATACTCTTGTATAAAAGTAATCAACAAAATAGATATAATTGAGAGATAGTTACATTCAAAGAAAGTATCGTTAGAAATAGTATACAAATATGCAGTCGCTCGTGAAAGTAATCAAGAAAATAGATATAATTGAGCGACAGCTATATTCAAAGTATCGTTAGAAATAATATATGTATAAGGACAATTCATTTCTCTTATGAAAGAAATTGACAAAAAACCTGTACGTAATTGAGCACCTACTACATTCAAAATATCGTTAGAAATAACTATCTAAATTGGTTGATATAAGTACACTGTTTTTTTCTGGTTGAATAAAGCAAGACCAACTCTCGACACATAAATAGATATCTATTGTTTGCAGTTTATTTAACATTCTGCTTTTATTATTGTATCTTTTATCGCCTTTCTTGAATGGGATGTGATAGAATAAGAAAACGACTGTTTTGAAAAATGTTAAAATTATTATTCCGTTCCTTTGAAGGAAACAACGCGACTGGAAAGCTTGTAGCTCCCTGGAAAGTCGTCACTTACTGAGATCTTATTTACCCGTTTGTATCTTCAAATTTCAAGTCCACCCCCTCTGTCTGTTTCTTTTTATTGTCTTTTTCCAAATCAATAGAACGAGCATGATTTGAGAGCAGTTGCGTGTATAAAAGATACCAGTCTGTATAGTTCGTGTAACAAACTTGATTCAAAACAAAATTACATATATTCTGTTTTTTCTCTACTTCTTTTCTCTACTTTTATATATATATATATATATATATACAGGATGTCTGACATAAGGTGTCACACCGAAAATATACAAGTAAATTTTGTTATTTAGAGAAAATTTTTCCTCAGCAAAAATATAGAAGCATTAATAATTTTCGAGTTATAAACGATTGAAAATAAAGGGTTTTTCGCAAACTAAGCCTTGTGAAAATAAAATATTAACAAAATTACATTCTCCAATTAATTTCAAGTAGAATTTATTTTAATAAAATTTTAATTTAAAGCTCAGTTATAAAGATACATAATGATAAAAATTGGGAACGTCCAAAAAATGATGGCCTCCCTCGACATTTTTGCTGAGGAAAAATCATCTCCAAATAACGAGATCTACTTGTATATTTTCGGCGTGATACTTTACGTCAGACACCCTGTATATATAATACACAATGTATAAGATTATATAAAGTAATAATATAATATGCCTCGAGAGAACCGACTTCTTGCAACTTCTTATCCATCAAAAAAAGTTTTTGATCTATAACTTTTTAAAAAGGTAAATCGTCTCTGATCTCCCTTCTATTCTCTTATATTCCTTCGATGCGTGGCTTTCGTTACAAGACTACCAAAAGAATCCAGGATGAAAGGGAGTTATGAACCAATCGGGATTCCCTATCTTCTTCGTTATTTATTCAACGACGCTACATATATCCGCACGCAGACTGAGACTGAATATTTCATGACAGTAATGTTACATGTATACGTGAACGTGTGTCGGTGCCTGAGGTATCATGATTCGCGTTTGACGATCGTTCTGATCGCAAAAATCGCCGAAAATGTATCGAAACTTCTTGTCACATTTAATCCCCCTTTTTAGTTAATATAGTAAGTATAACAAAAATTGAAAAGAATTGAACAAAAAAAGGAATAAACTAATATAATTTTTTCCTGTTAAATAAGGTCTTCGACAAGTACATCAAATATAAATCTCATTGATTTAGTTTTGTAAGTGATTTCAGATGTATCTCTTTTACAATATTAATCATTCATACAAAACTTTTAATGTAATATTGAGAAATATTTCTATTTTTATATAAAGCAGATGACTTTGATATCTTGAAATAAAAGGAACTGATATATACTTTGTTTGAAAATAGAAAATATAACATATATGTATATAGCTATATATTGATACACATATATGAGATAAACGTTTATATTTTAAAGTACGGTAAAGGATTTTAAAAAGTTATCTATTCTAGTTCTAATTCTTATTAGATCATTATTTTTATCAGAAAAAGTATTATATAATTTATTGCCTGAAACGTTCTCGATCTACGTGAGTTTAATAATGAGTTGAGCATAAATTTTCAGATCTTGAAATTTTTAATAATTTAATTCGCGCAATTTAATTAATAAATGATTTTTACACAATAAGATAAAACAAAAAAAACTCTCATTCTCCCCATTTGTTTGATTAAAAAAAAGTCTTTCGATACATTAGAAAAATTATAAAATCAATAAAATATCTGAACGGCTTCTTCATATAGTTCTAATTTTGTTTTCTTATATAATTCGCTCTTTCTTACTTCATCTTTTCCCATGTTCTTTTATTAACGAGTAATCGCGGCCAACCGAGACGAGATACCTCTTTTATTTGCCCGGCAAATGTGTGTGTATATACAATATACACAGCCGAATATACATTTATATACGTATATCTTAACATATATTGTGAGTCGCAAATATTATACTACGTCGCCCGTTATTTTTTTATGACTTAATTAACGTTATTTAGGTACTTCTTATAAAGCAATATTTTAATTTTAATATAAATCATATAATTAAATACAATTTTATAAAACCAATTTTGAAAAGGTGTATAAAATAAAAACTATGGTAATAATATTATAAAATAAAATTGTAGAAGTAAAACAAGTAACTTTATGTAAAAATCTGTAATCTTCTAACTTATGAAAAATATAATTTAGAAATAACTTGTTTATTAGCACATGCAAAAAAACTAATTCTTTGCTATTCAAGTTATTTTATCAGAGAAAAAATTTTTAACGCAACACAATTTTTTTTATAAAAAATATATTTAATAAAATAAATAAAAATATATAATTCTTCGTAATGCATCAAAATTACTGTAAGTATCAGGTTGTTAAAATTTTATGATTTGCTATCAATATAACAAAAAAGATTCGTTATATGATATGTTAAACACATAAAAAATATTTTACGTGCGTGAATGTTTTAAGAAAATTTAAATTTGACAAATCTAATAAATTTTATGTCTGACTTTCCATTGTGTTACTTCTTTCTTATTTTCATCTTTTGTTTGTAACATATAACACATATATCAACAGAGTATATCTCTGTATTCTATGTTTGAAATATTTGAGAAAAGTGTCGGTCTGCCACGTAATATTTCATACTTTTACGAAACAAGCTCGACATTTAAAAACTAGACGCGTATTTATTCTAGAATTCATAAAATTAGTATAAAAGTTTATGTCCCCGAAATATATAATAGTAAAAATATTAATTCGAAATATATATCATGTATATACATACACATGCATATACATAATTATATACATATGTGCGTGTGTGTGTGTATTGCATATATATATATATATTCTTTTTTATTAAGTTATTATATTAATATTTAATTATGTGTATATTAAAAAGTAAATATGAAAATATTATAAGTATATTTACATTCTGCAAATATTAACAATATAAATATTCTATACAACTTGAATTCATTTCAACGTTTTCGGAATTATTTCTTGCGTAAGGCAAGCTCGCTAGTTTTACTTATTATTTCTTTTACTAACAATGTCATTCTATTTAACAAAACATTTCAAAAAAAAGAAAAAAAACCATAGCAGAAACTTTTAACTGGGGATTTCTCAACATCTAATGTGTGTATAAAATGTAATTCGCATTTGACATTCCAATAAAATTCTTCGCAGATCTAATCACACATTATCGAAAAATCTCTCCGAATTATAAATATCGATCCGAATATCAGTTTTCTCGTGTCAACCGATCCACGGACGAATCGAGTGATCTACGATAGGCAATCAATGACACCTCGCTTCCACTATCAAATCCTGACTTCGTCCACGGCCCGCAGGTGTGGACATTGGCTACGAGTGGAACAGTCGACGCTCTCTACCAACCCGTTCGCTCTTTTTCTCTCTTTCCCTCGCGAAGGGTGGACACACGTTCGACCCTCGTCGTCGTCCCCACGAATTCCAGGGATCAATGCGTCGGTGCACCAAAACGCCTGCGCTACTATCCCCCTTCTCTACAACCCTCCATCCCTCCTTATCATCCCCTCTACATCCGTACCACCCCAGCAGCAGCAGCAGCAGCGGCGGCGGCAGCAACAACAGCAGCAGCAGCAGCGACAGCGGTAACAACGGGCAGCACTATCACAATTACGATATCGTCATCAGCGCGAGAAGACACCCTACTCTCGACGCCGATGTCGCTGCGCTGGCGTGCAGATCCCGGTGGTAGTCTGGCCTAACCGGTGTAACCGGTTGTGCGTCGAGAGTCTATTCTTCTTCTCGAGCGCCAGGCCAAGGCTCGCCACCTTGCGATTTACTCTTACCACCCGGTACTCCGTCCTTTCCACTTCCAGCACTGTCCCTCCAGTGCTCCCACCCCCGACGGCAGCGCTCTCCCTCGCTGTCACTCCCTCCCGCGTGCGCGTCGCCCGACCCTCGGAAATTCTGAAAGCGGTTCGCGCCTGTGCAACGCGGGGGTGGCGAGGGACCGAAAATCGAGGTGAAAGGAAACTCCGCGGATCCGGCCTAAGGGTCTCTCCTAGGGCTGATGCGTGTCGGTTGTGCCCCCTCGCGTGTGCGTTCTGCGAGCGCGAAAAATTGATAACCGCGCGCGCGTACGCACGCACGCACGCACACACACATACAAGACACACATACATATATACACGTGCATATATATATATATATCTATAATATATATATATATGTATACATATATATATACACACACATATACATATTTCGCGTGTATACGTGCATGGATTCGTGACGTATCGCCAATATTTTTATTGCCTCGGGCGATTGCCTTTTCCCTCTGCGCGACTCCGTCGTTTCGAGATCCTCTCATCGTCGATTTCGGAAGAAAGGCCATCCGCGGCGCGCGAATCGGTAACCCGGATCGCGTTCCTTCACCGGGCTACACCGTATAGTGACGGTTTGATCGCGCGCGGTTACTTACTCAAGTGACATACTTTTGTTCGCGAGAGAAGAGAAACTCTCCCTCGTCCGGGAGCAGCTGGCCGGGAAAGGAAAACTGAGTGTGATTTATCTTCGAGGAGGATAGTGTGATTACTCTCGGAGGTGTTACGCGACAATCTGCGAGCACAGTGGGAGTTTTACGAGTGTGACATGCCAGAAGTGCATCGACGTCGGGTGCAGTGACCATATTATAGTAGTAGATGTGATATCGAAGACTCGCGTCGTTTACACGTTGTACGCGGTTTATAATTAATCAGCGCGATCGCGAAGTCCACGGTGACTGATCTACGACGATCATTAGAGACCAACCGGAGAATCTCGAATCGCTCCCGGTGCGAGGGACATCATGCGTCCCCGATTGCAACCCTCGTTAGAGGGTTGAATCGCCGATTCCGGTGTCGCGCGATCGGCCGACACGGGTCCGCGGGTGTTGTGCGCGACGAGCTCGTCGGCGATCGTCCGCCCGAGAACATCCCTGCCGTGACGCGAGGTGATCTCGCCGAGGGTCAACCGTGTACCACATTCCCGCGCTGCAAGTGAGTCCCAAAGAACTATTTTTCACGATTCTCCGTAGCAACGTAGCGTACGACGCTTTTCGTATTCTCTATTTTAGAATTGCGCGATTACGAATTTATCGAGTCGAGGCGGTTACATGTACACACGCTGAAGAGAAATGAGATTTATGGAAATTTGTATGCAGAATTATATCTAGAAAATTGTTGAAATAAATGAATGAATAAGATTCACGATATCTTATATCAATTTTTCATCGCATTTCTATCATACTTGTGTCAAATTTGGATCTAGGTCAAAATATTTGATTAAATGTATTAATCTCTTTTGTTAAATTTATTTTTTCATTGTGGAGTCAGATCTTTTTACAAAGTGTATCAGAATTACATATATTTTTAATTTCAATTCACAATCGCGAAACACCTTTGGAATCGTGCGCGATTAAAATTAAAGCAATTTTTGTGATTTCAATTCGATGAAAGGATATAGGTCGTATATGTAAATGTGATTTTCAAACACTGCGGATTAGTATTTTTCGATGATATAAAAATGTGTTTTAAACACAGTTTCCGTAATAAATAAAAATAAGACATATTTGTTTTCTCTATACATTTAAAGCAAATACAAGAGCGGTAAAGTCGTAAATATATATATATATATATAGATGATAGAAAGAGCATAACGAAATTATGAAAACTAATTTCAACAAATATTAATCTTTATAATCGATGTAAAGCCAAGAGCCATCAATTTCAGTTCTATTTCAGCCATTAAGCGATCGCGCAACTTTCGTTAACTCCCATGGCACCTATAAGAAATTTTATCATTCGCTATTTCATCGTAAAGCTATTAAGACTTTGAAACTAGTGTTACGGCATTCCGCATACAGAACTCGTAATCGCGCAAAGTGTATCAGAAGTTGGGGTTATTCAATCATAAGCATACTAGATTTTTGCCATTCGTCTACTTCGATTAAAAAGTCCTCGACACTCTTATCCACTTTACAGAGCGATTTGTCACGATTAAAATCTTGAAAGGAATTTTCATCGTGTCCAATTCGGGTCACTACAAACCCGATCAAACTCTAGACTCTCCACAGATCTCCGAGTATCGACGAATTACAAAGCTTTCTGTCGACGCGCGTTGCATTCTCAAAGCTACTACAACCAAGCAATTCGTTTTCCTACCGTGAAATATATCGAATTATAGACGTTAATCTTCGCTATTGTCAATGCCAAAAATCATTAATATTCAATGTTGTCGTTATTTAAACGAATGAAATCATTTATCACAGTTTTCACATCGAAAGTTTTATTTTCTATGTTTAATTTTTTAATTTAAGTATATATCAGATTATATATATATATATATATATAATTTCAGGTATAATGAAACTCTAATTAGCATAAAGACATGATATGTAAATTGTAGAAAATATGGATTTGTGTGTAAAGGCCGTTTATTGCTCAAAAGTCAAGGGCACTTATATTGCTATAAATCTCGACTATGCGAATGGATAAGCCTCTAACACGGCGCATGACGTGCCATTGATCATCACACAGGCATCGCTTGCGTGGTTAAAGTCTTAATGTTTCTCTGGTATCGCGTTGATTTTACTGTTATTAATCTGATATAAGCGCACATACATAAGCGAGATAACTAGAGTGATTATTAATTTCCGACTGATTGCTTCTTTTCTACAATAAGATAATTTGTCTTATTATAGAAAATAATACGAAAACTAACAATAACACTTATGTACTATTTATTTTTGGTGCGAGTACATTTTTCATATCGTAGCAAACATTCACGTTTTAATCCAATATTTTAGCTACCGTTTATCCTTCAGATAGAACATTTTAATAAATTATATGTCAGCTACCTTGACATTTTCATAAATTAGAAATATAATACTTTTTGCCTTTCTTGTTTTTACTATGAAATGCATCGTAATTAAAATCAGAACTAATGAAATACTACAAAATACAATAGTAAACTTAAGATGTGGTTTGTATGCTATGTCATTTCGCAAATATAAAATTTTGTAACATTCAAATATTAACGTTGCAAAACTATCAATATCACACGATTTTCTGCAAATTTTAAATTATGAAAAATACCCTCTCGCATATTAAAATCTAAATACATATCTACTTTATTTTGCCTTTCACAGTATTCGCTGCAACTCATAATTTTTCCGACAATATCTAACAATAAACTCGAGGCGTCTACCAAATATATGGGTGGCTGCAAGATGTGCATCACGAAAGCAGTTCACTTTGGCTGCTTAATTTAACCGCATCGTCCTTTGATGCGTCCCTACCTTCTTAATGTAATTTATTATGTTATCTGTCATGATTGTATGAAGTTTCCGGATATAGCGCCCTCGTGAATCAGGTCACTATAAATTTCGGCACTAGCAAAGTAAGCTTTCGTACCGCTGTGATGTGCCATTGATTATAGCGTAGACATGAAGCTCGTCGCATAAGGCTTGAGAGCTTGAGGCTCTTCGATGTAGTTACGTTAATTTTGCAAGTCGCCCCTCGGCATTTTGCTCTTCTAAGCAACATCGTCAGGAAATTACATGCGGCGGTATGTCGACAAGTGATCTCTCTCTTCTACGCCTCTCTCCATATACATGCATATATATATATATTTTTTTTTTTCCTCTTTTTGTTTTTTAACCAAATGTTTCATATATCCCTCAACTCGACCCTCTCAGTCAATATAATAACCACAGAGTGTGTGTTTACTTGAAAAGACATTACCACTTTTTATAATATTCGTCATATTTCATGTAATATCTTTGCCGAGTTTATACGATGTCCTTTAGCATGTTTTTTCATGAACGTCATATCTTTTTAATTATTTCAGAATACTTTATAAATAATTGTATTTTCCCCTTCTCTCCTAAAATATTTCATAGTCTTTCTGCTAATTAATATTATTTGCATCAATCATATACTCATGTGTATAAAATATAATAATAATAATAATAAATTACATCATTAGTACAATACATACATGTCATTTAGTTCATCGCCTTCTGTTATATTTTGCGAAAATTGTAGAAAATATTTATCATTTATAATGTATGTACACCGCATTTCAATCATTATTATTTCAATATGTATTTTTGATATTGACGTGCGGTATACACGCAGAGAGAAGCGAAATGTGCGCGATCTAACGTATATGAAAATAACGCATCGCGCGGCGAATACATATAATTTCGACCGATATGTCGAGGAAAAATGTCACTGTCACCGCGGGTTCAAATCCATCCCCGTTGCGTAATCTCCGCGTCATGTACTTACGAGTTTCCAATTTCCGTTGCCGGTACTTACACGCTGTTTCTACTTCGCCTTTACATAATACGTATACTTTACGTAGTTGCGCAAGCCACTATCGAGAGCGTAGACAAGAACCTCCTGTCTGCAGCACACTCTCTCGTCGCCAAGCGTCTTACGTTTTTGCTCGCGATATCGACCTGTCATTTCTACCAAAACTTAACTCTCGCGACAGGACAATGAACATCACTGCGCTTGTATCATGCGTTCCTCTTCCGTGCCCGTTTTCTCCCTTATCCGTGAGGGCGGTTTCTCCTTCCTATCTCTTTGTCTTAGTTCCGTGACCCATCATCGTCTTTGGACCGCAAGTCGAACGAGAGCAAATTAGATATCCATTAACGTCGACTAGCAAGTTCGGAATCTTAATTGCAGCCAACTCTACGACTGTTTGCTCACGAGTAGCACAATTAACACGCGTTTTATCCGCGTTACAAAGGTGTTTGTCGCGCGGGATGTTTCCTGCTCGAGGAAGCGAAATTGTGTTAGAGAGGAAAAGTAGTACGCCGGAGTAATCCCAGAGTAGAGGGGTCTTTCACCGAGGTACCGGTCTGCGGCGAACATGAAAACTGCGTCACGAGAAGTTATGAGTTAAAAGCGTCGAAAGATGAGATTCGAGATTGAAATTAACGACGCTGGCGCGTTATTACGACGAGAACAAGCAAACGAAGAGTGAGGAAATATCGCACGTATACTGAGAATTTTTTGCAATTGCAACAATAATTCTAAATCTTGTGTCAATCAGGACGCAATGAAATAATGTACGTTGCAATTTCGCGATACGACTGAAAAATTGGCGATCTTTCTCTACGTGCGCTATTATTAAATATGTAAACTAATTTTTCATTCGCTCAGTTTATAATTATAGATATATTATAATCGTAAAATAACATTTCACAAGTTTGAATCAAATAATTTTAATGTTATTCGACTAAAACATTGTGAAAACAAACAATAATTCTGATTGTAATTAAAGTTGAAAAAATGTCATTAAAATTGAAATTGTGAATTATAAAAATTATATTTAGTTTTAGCGATTCAAATATTTAATGATTAATTACGCATATTTAATGTTTAATAATATTATACTGAAAGAGAAAGAATTTCTCTATTTAATTACTATTATTACTATTAGTATTATTATTATTATATGTGCAAATAGTGTATACTTAATATTTGATCATTTGTGTTGTTTCATCATTCATGAGAAATGTAGTGAGCAAAATATTTCGCATTATACTAGTGTTTAATACAACTTTCATTAAATTGACTAATGATATCGTGATAATGGAGAAAACGTACTATATATAGGATCAAATAAACCGTTTGTGCGTAAAAATAGGACATTGCTGTCGCAACGAAATAGAGATAAATTGGTCACGTTGATCCAACCACGCGGGGTTAATGCACCGATGCACCAACGAATCGCTTAATGACATTGCCTGGCTATTATAGCCATTGTACAAATACAACATCAAATATACAATATTGCTCTTTCAGCTCGGCGACGACGTTCGTTTAACATTTATATTATCATCGTGTATTCGTACTGTTTTAGATTCGACGCGGCAAAATTCGTAATCCGGGTCGAAATCAGAGAAATTTTTTTCCTTTTGCGACGTCTCTCGGAAAACCGCGAAAACAACCGCACTTAATCGCGTCACGAAGATCGGCGA